ATGACTCGTTCCGCTGACATCATCAAACGAAGCCATACTTGGCGATTTATCTCTGGGCAAACCGCGTGCAGCCGTCCTACGCGATTTTCGACAGACTGTGTTCGACACGTTTGCACGGCTTGTCTTTCCTAGGTGATTGTGCATCGGTTAAACTCGTAAACATACAATTGATCTGGCGCAATGTCAATCGTGACTTTCGTACTTGGGCACCTGCGTGCATTTCGTGGTAACGCGCGAACGCGCATAAGCACACTGAAAGCTCAACAGGAACATTTCGACGCCAGATGCACGTTTTATCCACGTGCATGTCAAACACGTAGGCCCTCTGCCGTCGACGAGAATCTCAGTATATTTACCGACCTGTGTCGATCGATCACTAGATAGAAGGAAGCTATTCCCTCACCTGAATGCTCTACGGAAACGGAGGCGAATGATGGTACAGAGAGTTGGGTAAAACCATAAGACTGTCCCACCATTATGAACACCAATCGAGGGTCATAATTCTCGTCGAGATTTGCCACGTTACTAAAACATGCCCATAGAGATAAGAACACAAAGCTCAGAGAAGAAATTTCTTCTCGATATTTCTCATCAGGCTTATACATATATAAAACTATTTAAAATCGTGATAGGCTAAACTGGCAAGTCTAGGATTGGTCAACTCCGAACAGGCTGCTTTGGTATTCGATCCCTTGCAATCGATTTTAAGAGCCAAGCTTAAACGTATACATATGTTCACAATATAACATAATACGGTTAAGCTGTTCGATAGGGTGAAAAGGTCACTTTCAGAAGCCGAACGGCGAGTCACAGTAAAGTTATGGCCAGAGTAAATGGAGCATTTGAACTAACATCCTCCGCTTGCATAATTCCGGTTGCATCATCTGGATTGAAATAACCTCGGTCGTCATGAGTAAACGCCTATTAACTCCCTTTGGATGGTGTTTCGGCAAAACGTATAAAAATTAAACGGTTCTATCGTCACGAATTATTGCCCGAACTGGACTACATGTTCCAAAACAGCACTTTGGGCAATTTTGACTGCGTGCGTATATCAAGCTGCAGGGCAGTGTTCTGTTATTTGGTCAAAGCAGAGAGAAGAGAGACATTGCGATCCGGCAACGTTTCGATTATTCTCTTCAGTCGCAAACACAATACGAGCAGAAACACACAAACGAGTATATACATGGAAAAATAAGCAACACCAATCAAAATGTCACAGTCAAGACCATGGCAACCGAATTGGTTGCCTCAAGTTTCTGTGCACATAGCACAGGTTGATAGGGCTTAATTAACAACGCCTCACTAATTACCAGCATTGTGGGGTTTTTGTTACGGAACAACATTTTGAACGCTGTCTCAGGGTTCACGTGATGACGGGTCGCCATGAGGATCTTGGTGATAGACGATGCCGGGCTCCGACTAATTCTCAGATCCGTCCCATTTTGTTGCGTAATCGCTTGACCCAACCAATGTGGCAAATGTTCAGCTACCATCTGAGCTAACTGACGGTTTGTTCTGCCTATGTAAATGTCCCTGCAACCGCAGGTGAACTGATACACAACGTGAGAGGCCGAACTATCCAATGAGATGATCTGACGGTTAAGAAGAACAAGTTCTCGCGTGGTATGTCTGAGTAGCGACTGGGCTGTCGTGTAGGTTCGCGTTAGGGCGGACCGGAGCTTGCGTCCGATATCATTTGCCACATGGTCTCCCTTGAACGGCAAGAACAAATAAACCTCCTTTTTCTCAGCCGTCATTACTCGCGTCTTCACGCTGGGAGGTCTGCTGTGTACTTGAATGAACTGCTCAGGATATCCATTCGAAATTAAGGTTTTGCGTAGAATTTCTTCTTCGGCTTTTAACGTTTCGGGGCTGCAAATACATCTAGCTCGGTAGAAGAGAGTTTTTATCAAGCCGCGTTTGTATGCGATCGGGGCGAAGCTTGAAAAATGAAGGTACTGTTCAGTCCAAGTCGAGTTGCTGTGAACAGTGCGCTGCAACGTGCCTTCAACCCGTCTCCTAATGAGTATGTCCAAGAACGCCAGGCAACTGGGTTGTTCCACTTCATGGGATACCGGCAGATTAGGGTGGATCGAATTCAGGATGATCAGGAGCCGGGTAAAAGGTTCTTCGCTCGTGAAGATTAGAATGTCGTCCGCATATCGTCTGTACAATTTCGCTTCACCAATGCCGGCAGCAAGTTGCCTTTCTAGCAGGCCGAGGAAGATGTCGGCTAAAACTCGTCGCAGAAGGCTGCCCTTAGCGACCCCGTCGACCTGTTGGTATGCGGTATCCTAAAACTAAAACCGTATGATCTCGGTGCACAATAGAATGATATTCCAGTAAGTGGAAAATTCCCATTTCATTATCAAGAACGAAAGACCGAGGGTGAACAATTGTTTTCGATGATTCATATTCAGACCTGTACAATCATATGGATGAAATCGCAATGGGCAAGTACAAGGGGACTAACGATCAGTTCAAATGAGATTGATCGCGTGTCGATCAAAGGCATGAACCAGTAACAAACAGCAAACTAGGGCTGAGGTACCGTTGCACAATTGCAGTTGCTGTCCGAAGGATCCGTTTTGGCTGGCCAAGGTAGCTGAACAGCTTCGATCAGCTTCTTTTGTGCACACAAAAGAGGTTGGTACAACCGAATGCTGATCGCCTCGGCAGTAGCAAGGGTCCGGAGGCGCAGGCCTTTCGACTGGAGTGAAGGGACCCTGTACAGTATTCGAAAGGCACTGACTGGGTCAACCTCATGCCTACTATCAACCAGATGAGCCATAACTGAGCTAGTTATAGCTCCAGTACCGCCTCGACGCAACCAACGTGGTAGGTGCTCCTTAATGCGTTTCGAAAGTTGCCGCGCCGTTCGACCGATGTAAGTAGCGCCACAAGCGCACTTGAACTGATAAATTACCATAGAAGCGGTCAGCGTCGGTAACTTGTCTTTGTTGTAAATACGGATGAGTGGCTCCGTGGAAAAGGTACACCTAAGTTTGGCTGCTGGAAAAGTTGACTTGACAGCTGTTGAAAGGCTTCTAGTTACACGCTCAGCAGCGGCATCTCCCTTGAAGGGTAGTCGTATGAAAAGTTCTTTTTTCTCTGCTGTCTGAACCTGTAACTGGTCGGGCTTACATTGCATGTTCCTCAAAATGAAACGATCAGGATATCCGTTTTCGCGCAGCAAATTCAGAATGAGCGTCAACTCATTATCCAACTTGTCTTCAGAACAGATCCTGTGGGCCCTTGTGGTTAGACAGCGAATTAGGTTTCGCTTATATCTCAACGGAACGAAACTGAGAAAGTTCGTATACTGGCCACTCCAGGTTTTCTTCCTGTAGACTTGCCGTTGGATCGAGCCGTCTGCCCTTCTAGTTAACAGCACATCAAGAAACGGCAACTGATCGTTCACTTCCTTTTCGTAGGTGAACTGCAATGATCCGTGGGCCCGATTAAAGCGGTCAATAACAGCGTCAAGATCAACAGACTGGTCGGCCACGACAAATATGTCGTCCATATAGCGGTGGTAACATTCAAAGGCCGTGATCTCCTCATGTAACTTGGTATTCTCTAATTTCGCCATGAGGACATCAGCTAACAACGGACCCAATGGCGATCCCATAGCTACACCATCCTTTTGTCGGTAGTAAGTGCCATTGAATAAGAACTGTACGTTCCAAGTGCAACGCAAAAGAAGGCTTTTCAAGTCACGCAACGGTATACATATACTTGCTTTTGTTTCTTCTATGTAGGAACAAAGGTAATCGATCGTCTCGAAAAGTGGCACGTTGGTGAAAAGCGATACAACATCTAAGGAAAACATTACTTTCTTATCAATGTTGCGATCTTTGATGCTTTCGATGAAATGAAAGGTATCACGAAGGCTGTAGTGTGTAAGTCGCTGTCTTACTGGCTCTAGAATTTCCACAAGCCATTGGGCGACGGCATGGTAGGGTGAATTAACCATTGATAAGATCGGGCGAAGCGGGACACCTGTCTTATGAATTTTTGGTAACCCATAAAGTCTCGGGATATTCGTGCCACCCGGCTTCAGGCTATCATAAAGTGTATTTGATATATGTCCATTATTCCGAAGATCTTGCAAGCTTTTAATAGTTTGGTTTTCAATCCTCTCTGTCTGGTCCTTTTCTTCAATCATTCGGGAAAATTTCGATTCGTCACTCAGAACCTTTTCGAGCTTGTTTAGATAGTCTTCTTTATCTAACAGAACGACTCCAGTACCCTTGTCCGGTCTGCTCAGAACGATCTCACCATTGCGTCGTAAATCCTTCAACGCGTCAAGGTGCTTGCGTGTCAGTGGACCGTGAGTGTGGACATGGCAATTGCGATACTGGTAGCAGGTGTTCACTAAAGAACACTTAAAACGTTCCAGGTCTTCATTCGACTTAGCTACAAGCCCTGTCCAAATGCCTGAGAGACGCTGTTGAAAAGACCTACTTCGCGGCTCGCCTACGCATAGTATTTTACAACAAGCCTTTATTCGCAAAACCCTTGAAAGACAGGCTGCCTCTGGTGACTCGATCAATGCTTGTTTATCTTTACTCGTGCTCCTGTGGGGCACGATACGTGGGTCGTACCACGAGACGCCTATCTCATAGGATTCGCGAACACATCCCCAAGTGGTTTTACAAAGGCGAAGCGAGGTGCAGCAACAGTTCCATCTTATCTCACCTACTAGAGTGCAGTCACGCAGGAACGGAAAATGATTTTAGAGTCATCTATACTGTTCCTGAACGTTTCACGCGCGGATTCCGGACGCATCTTCTGTCTATTGCGGAAGCTATCTACATCCGCCACCTCAAGCCAGAACTGTGCGTACAAAAACAGTTTGTACGTCCTTTGCTTCTACCGTGGCCTACAACTTCGGCTATGATTTCCCCTGTACACACTTGCCACTTCCAATGACCTCGTGATTTATTGATTTGTACCCGTGAAATTAAACATTTGTTCAATACGTAGCCCAACCCGGCACATTTAGCACTTTTTCCACATCATGTAATGTATGAGTCTGATGAGAATTACCGAAAAGAATTCTTTACTCAGATTCTGCCTCCTTTGATTCATTCTAATAAATGGGAATTTTTGGATTGCTGAGGATCAGCATTCCCCGTGATTCAGTCAAGCTTTTGAATGAGTATCTGAAGTTCAGTGCTCGGTATGAAGAGGCTGAGGTTGAATTGAAATTCTTCAATGAGTGCTTACAGTCATGCCGGTATCCAAAACACTTTTGGAAAGATATACGCCGATGTGGTCTGTACCCTAATGTGCGCAATTTGAGGCGGCACACTCTCAACTATATGGATAACATTCGCACGAAATTATCGGAGCTGGAAAGATTTCTCTCACAACGAATGCATGCCGTCATGGGCTTATCGGAAGAGTTACGAAGACCTTTTGAAGCATACGTAGAACAGGTTAAAAAGCAAAGGGGTACACAGAAAAGAAAGAAGTTGCTTAGCTCGCTAAATAGTCAAGTGCCGCAACTGAACTTTCCGAGTAACCCGGAGCGGTACGTGTTTAACCTTTCTAGTGTCGTGCTTAGCCCAACACAATTAAATGTGTTGTCCTTAGGCCCTAAGTTTTGCATCCCTTGTAAAAAAGTTGATCAGGCTGCATTAGAGGTGCAATTTGAGAGCTTAATAGCGCAGGCGCGCGACCTGTCACCAAATTCGTCAGGGGACGTTGAGAACATGTTATCTAGCTTAGTAAACACCTGTCATGATTACATTAAGGCTAGATCAGCCAGTAGTGGTTTTCTTACAAGCGAACATATGCAGTCACTTAGAGAGTTATGGTTAAACAAAGAGTTAATTATCTCTAAGCCGGATAAAGGTTCTGGTATAGTTCTAATGAATAGAACTGATTATGTTAGTAAGATGCAACATATTCTTAGTGATGAACGTAAGTTTCAAAAGCTAACATTAGGAAAGGATAATACAGAAGAGTTAGAAAAACAACTGACCGATTTGCTCCGACGAATGATGAAAGAGAATGTTATCACAAAGTGCGAATTCGAAAAGCTGAGACCTTCAGGCGGACATCTACCACGGTTGTACGGCCTCCCTAAAGTACACAAGGAGGGCGCTCCAATGCGTCCCATACTGGATATGGTTAGCTCTCCGCAACATTTGATAGCTCAATGGATGGTTGAGAAGCTGGAACCGCTGCGTAAAACCGTCTGCACTTACTGCGTGAAAGATACTTTCGAGTTCATTGAGAAGATAAGGGACGTGAATGTTAACAACAAATGGATGTCGTCATTTGATGCGCAGTCGTTGTTTACGAACATTCCGTTGTTGGAAACAGTAGAATATGTCTGCGAACTAGTACGGCAACTGAACGTACCTATAAATATCCCGGAAAACCTCCTGAAGGAATTGTTACTCAGATGCACTTTAAACGTGCAATTCACCTTCAACGGAGAGATGTATCGTCAAATTGATGGAGTTGCCATGGGCTCACCATTGGGACCCTTTCTAGCAGATGTCTTTATGGCAAAATTGGAGCATAACGTATTAAGAACGCACATCAACGAAGTCGAGATGTATATACGTTATGTAGACGATACATTTATACTCTGCAAATCGAAAGCGCAGACTGTGAAACTGTTGGAAGCTTTTAATGATGCGCATCAGAATCTACATTTCACATGTGAGCACGAATCCAGAAACCGACTATCGTTCCTGGATGTTGATATCATCAGAAACGCCGATGGATCATGCAGCAGAGGGGTGTATAGAAAACCAACTTGGACTGGACAGTACATCAACTTCTATAGTGCGGTACCCATACAGTACAAACGAAACCTAGTCCGCACTCTTGCGTTCCGAGCACATAGAATTTGCACCCCAGACACAATCACCAAAGAATTGCAGAGAATCGGCGACGCGCTAAGAGAGAATGGGTATCCAGATAAATTCATCCTCAAACATTTGAAAGAACGCAAGATAAAACCACCGAGGATGAACGTACCCAAAAAAGAACTAATTGTGCATATTCCTTTCAAAGGCGACAGTGCGGCTGATGCCCTGTCCAAACGCCTGAGAGACGCTGTTGAAAAGACCTACTTCGCGGCTCGCCTACGCATAGTATTTTACAACAAGCCTTTATTCGCAAAACCCTTGAAAGACAGGCTGCCTCTGGTGACTCGATCAATGCTTGTTTATCTTTACTCGTGCTCCTGTGGGGCACGATACGTGGGTCGTACCACGAGACGCCTATCTCATAGGATTCGCGAACACATCCCCAAGTGGTTTTACAAAGGCGAAGCGAGGTGCAGCAACAGTTCCATCTTATCTCACCTACTAGAGTGCAGTCACGCAGGAACGGAAAATGATTTTAGAGTCATCTATACTGTTCCTGAACGTTTCACGCGCGGATTCCGGACGCATCTTCTGTCTATTGCGGAAGCTATCTACATCCGCCAACTCAAGCCAGAACTGTGCGTACAAAAACAGTTTGTACGTCCTTTGCTTCTACCGTGGCCTACAACTTCGGCTATGATTTCCCCCGTACACACTTGCCACTTCCAATGACCTCGTGATTTATTGATTTGTACCCGTGAAATTAAACATTTGTTCAATAAGTAGCCCAACCCGGCACATTTAGCACTTTTTCCACATCATGTAATGTATGAGTCTGATGAGAATTACCGAAAAGAATTCTTTACTCTTATTCTGCCTCCTTTGATTCATTCTAATATATGGGGATTAACGATCAGTTCAAATGAGATTGATCGCGTGTCGATCAAAGGCATGAACCAGTAACAAACAGCAAACTAGGGCTGAGGTACCGTTGCACAATTGCAGTTGCTGTCCGAAGGATCCGTTTTGGCTGGCCAAGGTAGCTGAACAGCCTCGATCAGCTTCTTTTGTGCACACAAAAGAGGTTGGTACAACCGAATGCTGATCGCCTCGGCAGTAGCAAGGGTCCGGAGGCGCAGGCCTTTCGACTGGAGTGAAGGGACCCTGTACAGTATTCGAAAGTCACTGACTGGGTCAACCTCATGCCTACTATCAACCAGATGAGCCATAACTGAGCTAGTTATAGCTCCAGTACCGCCTCGACGCAACCAACGTGGTAGGTGCTCCTTAATGCGTTTCGAAAGTTGCCGCGCCGTTCGACCGATGTAAGTAGCGCCACAAGCGCACTTGAACTGATAAATTACCATAGAAGCGGTCAGCGTCGGTAACTTGTCTTTGTTGTAAATACGGATGAGTGGCTCCGTGGAAAAGGTACACCTAAGTTTGGCTGCTGGAAAAGTTGACTTGACAGCTGTTGAAAGGCTTCTAGTTACACGCTCAGCAGCGGCATCTCCCTTGAAGGGTAGTCGTATGAAAAGTTCTTTTTTCTCTGCTGTCTGAACCTGTAACTGGTCGGGCTTACTTTGCATGTTCCTCAAAATGAAACGATCAGGATATCCGTTTTCGCGCAGCAAATTCAGAATGAGCGTCAACTCATTATCCAACTTGTCTTCAGAACAGATCCTGTGGGCCCTTGTGGTTAGACAGCGAATTAGGTTTCGCTTATATCTCAACGGAACGAAACTGAGAAAGTTCGTATACTGGCCACTCCAGGTTTTCTTCCTGTAGACTTGCCGTTGGATCGAGCCGTCTGCCCTTCTAGTTAACAGCACATCAAGAAACGGCAACTGATCGTTCACTTCCTTTTCGTAGGTGAACTGCAATGATCCGTGGGCCCGATTAAAGCGGTCAATAACAGCGTCAAGATCAACAGACTGGTCGGCCACGACAAATATGTCGTCCATATAGCGGTGGTAACATTCAAAGGCCGTGATCTCCTCATGTAACTTGGTATTCTCTAATTTCGCCATGAGGACATCAGCTAACAACGGACCCAATGGCGATCCCATAGCTACACCATCCTTTTGTCGGTAGTAAGTGCCATTGAATAAGAACTGTACGTTCCAAGTGCAACGCAAAAGAAGGCTTTTCAAGTCACGCAACGGTATACATATACTTGCTTTTGTTTCTTCTATGTAGGAACAAAGGTAATCGATCGTCTCGAAAAGTGGCACGTTGGTGAAAAGCGATACAACATCCAAGGAAAACATTACTTTCTTATCAATGTTGCGATCTTTGATGCTTTCGATGAAATGAAAGGTATCACGAAGGCTGTAGTGTGTAAGTCGCTGTCTTACTGGCTCTAGAATTTCCACAAGCCATTGGGCGACGGCATGGTGGGGTGAATTAACCATTGATAAGATCGGGCGAAGCGGGACACCTGTCTTATGAATTTCTGGTAACCCATAAAGTCTCGGGATATTCGTGCCACTCGGCTTCAGGCTATCATAAAGTGTATTTGATATATGTGCATTATTCCGAAGATCTTGCAAGCTTTTAATAGTTTGGTTTTCAATCCTCTCTGTCTGGTCCTTTTCTCCAATCATTCGGGAAAATTTCGATTCGTCACTCAGAACCTTTCGAGCTTGTTTAGATAGTCTTCTTTATCTAACAGAACGACTCCAGTACCCTTGTCCGGTCTGCTCAGAACGATCTTACCATTGCGTCGTAAATCCTTCAACGCGTCAAGGTGCTTGCGTGTCAGTGGACCGTGAGTGTGGACATGGCACTTGCGATACTGGTAGCAGGTGTTCACTAGAGAACACTTAAAGCGTTGAAGGTCTTCATTCGACTTAGCTACTAGCCCTTTTGTTTGGCCAAACAGGCTTTCAAACTGTAACTCATAGTGAAGCTGATTGTCTTTGTGTTTGGGAGCGCAAAACTTTGGACCAAGCGATAGAACTTCCATTAAAGTGGAGTTCAATTTCATACTTGAAAAATTGTGCACGTACCTCTCAGGTCTATTAGGGAAAGTGGATTGCGGCTTATGCTGATTCAACGTCTTAGTTAGGGCCAAACGCCTTTGTCGTACACGGTTTGCGGTGATAGACTGAACGTAATCCAGGAATGATTGTTTCATGTCCAACGCTAACTCTTCAATCACATTCTGACGAAACAAAATTTTCCCGAATGATTGGAGAAAAGGACCAGACAGAGAGGATTGTAAAACCAAATATATAAAGCTTGCAAGATCTTCGATATAATGGACATATATCAAATACACTTTAAGAGAGCATGAAGCCGAGTGGCACGAAGTCCAGAGAATGAAGACCTGGAACGTTTTAAGTGTTCTCTAGTGAACACCTGCTACCAGTATCGCAAGTGCCATGTCCACACTCACGGTCCACTGACACGCAAGCACCTTGACGCGTTGAAGGATTTACGACGCAATGGTGAGATCGTTCTGAGCAGACCGGACAAGGGTACTGGAGTCGTTCTGTTAGATAAAGAAGACTATCTAAACAAGCTCGAAAGGTTCTGAGTGACGAATCGAAATTTTCCCGAATGATTGGAGAAAAGGACCAGACAGAGCGGATTGAAAACCAAACTATTAAAAGCTTGCAAGATCTTCGGAATAATGGACATATATCAAATACACTTTATGATAGCCTGAAGCCGAGTGGCACGAATATCCCGAGACTTTATGGGTTACCAAAAATTCATAAGACAGGTGTCCCGCTTCGCCCGATCTTATCAATGGTTAATTCACCCTACCATGCCGTCGCCCAATGGCTTGTGGAAATTCTAGAGCCAGTAAGACAGCGACTTACACACTACAGCCTTCGTGATACCTTTCATTTCATCGAAAGCATCAAAGATCGCAACATTGATAAGAAAGTAATGTTTTCCTTGGATGTTGTATCGCTTTTCACCAACGTGCCACTTTTCGAGACGATCGATTACCTTTGTTCCTACATAGAAGAAACAAAAGCAAGTATATGTATACCGTTGCGTGACTTGAAAAGCCTTCTTTTGCGTTGCACTTGGAACGTACAGTTCTTATTCAATGGCACTTACTACCGACAAAAGGATGGTGTAGCTATGGGATCGCCATTGGGTCCGTTGTTAGCTGATGTCTTCATGGCGAAATTAGAGAATACCAAGTTACATGAGGAGATCACGGCCTTTGAATGTTACCACCGCTATATGGACGACATATTTGTCGTGGCCGACCAGTCTGTTGATCTTGACGCTGTTATTGACCGCTTTAATCGGGCCCACGGATCATTGCAGTTCACCTACGAAAAGGAATTGAACGATCAGTTGCCGTTTCTTGATGTGCTGTTAACTAGAAGGGCAGACGGCTCGATCCAACGGCAAGTCTACAGGAAGAAAACCTGGAGTGGCCAGTATACGAACTTTCACAGTTTCGTTCCGTTGAGATATAAGCGAAACCTAATTCGCTGTCTAACCACAAGGGCCCACAGGATCTGTTCTGAAGACAAGTTGGATAATGAGTTGACGCTCATTCAGAATTTGCTGCGCGAAAACGGATATCCTGATCGTTTCATTTTGAGGAACATGCAAAGTAAGCCCGACCAGTTACAGGTTCAGACAGCAGAGAAAAAAGAACTTTTCATACGACTACCCTTCAAGGGAGACGCCGCTGCTGAGCGTGTAACTAGAAGCCTTTCAACAGCTGTCAAGTCAACTTTTCCAGCAGCCAAACTTAGGTGTACCTTTTCCACGGAGCCACTCATCCGTATTTACAACAAAGACAAGTTACCGACGCTGACCGCTTCTATGGTAATTTATCAGTTCAAGTGCGCTTGTGGCGCTACTTACATCGGTCGAACGGCGCGGCAACTTTCGAAACGCATTAAGGAGCACCTACCACGTTGGTTGCGTCGAGGTGGTACTGGAGCTATAACTAGCTCAGTTATGGCTCATCTGGTTGATAGTGGGCATGAGGTTGACCCAGTCAGTGCCTTTCGAATACTGTACAGGGTCCCTCCACTCCAGTCGAAAGGCCTGCGCCTCCGGACCCTTGCTACTGCCGAGGCGATCAGCATTCGGTTGTACCAACCTCTTTTGTGTGCACAAAAGAAGCTGATCGAAGCTGTTCAGCTACCTTGGCCAGCCAAAACGGATCCTTCGGACAGCAACTGCAATTGTGCAACGGTACCTCAGACCTAGTTTGCTGTTTGTTACTGGTTCATGTCTTTGATCGACACGTGATCTATCTCATTTGAACTGATCGTTAATCCCCTTGTACTTTCCTATTGCGATTTCAACCATATGATTGTACAGGTCTGAAGATGAATCATCGAAAACAATTGTTCACCCTCGGTCTTTCGTTCTTAATACTGTACCGCATACTGTCCCATCACCCGGGACGAAGTAGAAAAGCTTGAGCGGGTGCAGCATGTAGCCACTAGGCTGATTCCAAACTTACGAGGTATGCCATACGAAGACCGATGTAAGAAACTAGGGTTATACACCCTATCTTATCGTCGGCTGAGGGTTGACCTCATCATGACGCACCGGATATTACATCTGGGTGATTACCCCATGTTGAGACAACTACTTCATCTGCGCACACCAAGCTGCACGCGAGGACACCGGTATAAACTTATCGTCCCGGATTTGAAGCGGGTCGCCCATCAACTCTGTTTCGAACGAAGAGTGGTGAATGTCTGGAACGACCTGCCTCAGCATATAGTAGAAGCGAACACAGTGGCAAAATTCAAGATGCTACGAGACAAACAATTTGCAGAGGCAAAGTACAAAGAGCGAAACGATAAATAAAAGGTTCATGTCCGAAAACGACGAATGATGCAGCTACATAGAGCAACCTCTACTCGCTGCTTCGCACCAGTTCCCAGTTCTCATCAT